ACCAACTGTCCTCAACGTGTGGTCCTCAATGGAACCACATCTATGCGGACGGAAGTGTGCAGTGAGGGTCCCTCAAGGTTCTATCTTGGGCCCAGTGCTCTTCAACATCTTCATAAATGACCTGGATGAGGGGATTGAAGGAGCACTCGTCAAATTTACGATGACACACAGCTGGGGGGAATTGCTAATACTTTGGAAGACAGACTCAAAATTCAGAAGGATCTAGATAGACTTAAACATTGGGCCCTATTTAATAAGATGCAGTTCATTGGCAGGAAAGGTAAGGTCCTGTACTGTACTTAGTCAGGAGAAACCAGATGCACAGGTACAGGATAGGTGGTATCTGACTTGACAGTAGTACCTGTGAGAGGGATTTAGGTGTCCTGGTGGACCACCGCCTAAGGAGGAGTCAGCAGTGTGCTGCAGCTGCCAAGAAAGCCAACAAAGTCCTAGGCTGCATCAACAGGGGGACAGCATCAAGATCAAGGGAAGTGATAGAACCACTCTATACTGTGCTAGTGAGGCCGCACTTGGAGTTCTGTGCCCAGTTCTGGTCACCACAATACAAAACAGATGCTGAGGTCCTGGAAAAGCAACAAAGAATGATAAGGGGACTGGTGGCTAAATCCTATGAAAAATGGCTAAAAGAACTATGTTTTTTGTTTTTGTTTTGTTCAGTCGTTTAGTCGTGTCCGACTCTTCGTGACCCCATGGACCAGAACACGCCAGGCCCTCCTATCTTCCACCACCTCCCGGAGTTGTGTCAAATTCATGTTGGTTGCTTCGATGAAACTGTCCAACCATCTTGTTCTCTGTCATCCCCTTCTCCTCTTGCCCTCACATTTTCCTAACATTAAGGTCTTTTCCAAGGAGTCTTCTCTTCTCATGAGATGGCCAAAGTATTGGAGCCTCAGCTTCAGGATCTGTCCTTCCAATGAGCACTCGGGTTGATTTCCTTTAGAATTGATAGGTTTGTTCTCTTGGCAGTCCAGGGAACTCTCAAGAATCTCCTCCAGCACCACAATTCAAAGGCATCAATTCTTCGGCGGTCTGCTTTCTTTATGGTCCAGCTCTCACTTCCATACAACACTACAGGAAAAACCATAGCTTTGACTATTCGGAATTTCATTGGCAAGGTGATGTCTCTGCTTTTTAAGATGCTGTCGAGGTTTGTCATTGCTTTCCTCCCAAGAAGCAGGCGTCTTTTAATTTCAGGGCTGCTGTCTCCATCTGCAGTCATCATGGAGCCCAGGAAAGTAAAATCTGTCACTGCCTCCATATCTTCCCCTTCTATTTCCCAGGAGGTGATGAGACCAGTGGCCATGATCTTAGTTTTTTTGATGTTGAGTTTCAGACCGTTTTTTGCACTCTCGTCTTTCACCCTCATTACAAGGTTCTTTAGTTCAGCTTAATGAAGAGAAGACTGAGGTGGTACTATCATGGGACACCATTTCCAACGGTGTTTATCCCAAATATGACATGGTTTCCACTTTGGGTATCACAGGATAACACTGACAAAGCTGAATTCAAAAACTGAAAAGCTTCCATTGGAAAGAACGTTTTTAGCGGATGCCATACCTCTCTCTCCTGCTCCCACCACATCCAATCCTGTATGTATTCAACGCACCAATGTGTCCTGATTGATACCTTTTCCTTCCTTTTCTTTTTCCTAAGTTGTAGGTAAGGGTTCCTAGTTGTCAGCTTCCAAGTAAATTGGGCAACTTTACTTCAAAAAGAAATGTTATCGATCCCATGTGTACTTTGTGGATTATCCCATCATGTTGGTAAACAAAGGGAGACCAATAAACCCATAAAACACTTTTCCTCCCTTTTTATTCTTATTTGCAAACAGGAGAAAAACAAAACAAAAATGGAAACAGAAAGCAAAATAAAAAAGTGCTTGCAATAGTTACTGAATTTCATAAAAAAATGGCACTGGTACAAAAGAACAATATTTATATATACTTTATAAGAACTGTGTAATCATTCAGCAGTCTTCATTTTGCAAAACAAAATACAAAATTAAAATAACATCAGTCACACTGAAAATCAGCATCTGCGAATAGCTTGCAATTCTTTTCATAATTTTAAGGCTTCTTTTCTGCACTGTTAATAATTATGATACTACTTGGTACAAAGAAGGTTTTGCTTTTTTCAAAAAAAATAATAATATTTCTTTGTATAAATACTTCATTACTAGGGGAAAAAAATGCAGATTGCAATTTTTGAAGCATTTTAACTAAGCACCATTGTTTTTGTCTGACTGCTTATAGTGCAATTTCCCCTTTTCCCTACAGAAGATTCTAAGGATGAGTGGCAATTGCTTTTTACATGTTTCTAAATCCCCACTCTTTTAAACTACTCATGGTTTTCATGGATTGTACTTTTGAAGTGGTATTTTTGGCATTTTTAAAAAACAGATATGAGATATTTTGAGATCTAGACTAAGAAAACATGCAGAGAATTGTATTACTACTTGCAAAACCAAATGAGAGAAAAATCTTATTGACCTGAATATCAGTATACAAAGAGTTTTAGATAACTGAAGTTAAGATCATGGGAGTGAACATAGGAAGTTGCCTTATATTGCACGTGTCCATTTAGTCTTGCATTATCTGGCAACAACATTCTAAGGGAACAGTCTTTTGCATCCATGATCCCCAAGATGCATTTCACAGGAAAAACTGTATCCCAAATTTATGTTAAGCATAAACTTTACTATTGATACCTTTGTCTGGAGCCCTAGGAAGCTGCCTCACACTCAGACCATCAGTTTATCTGTCTAATCTGACTGGCAATAATTAACCAGACTAAGTATGTTGCCATGAAGCTTTAGGTGGGCATGCACAAAACCTCCGGACAGATACAAATCAAAGATCTTGGACTCTTCCTGCCACAGATTTCTGTGTACAAATTTAAAAAACCCAGTTAAGGTCTGGGCTAACGTTTGTTTTCATTCCCATTTTGTGTCATGTGATTTCCATTGGGAATTAAGTGGCTGCATTTGTGGATGGGATGAGAGAGCATGAGGGTGCTTGCAAATCAATGTAATTTTTAACAAGCATGTACGTTGCCTGCACCTTAATAAATAAATAAATAAACACATCACACTTAGCTTTTGGAATCAATTTCAGGGTCCGAGATTGAGCTTGTAAGAAGATGAGGAAAGGATCAGCTTGCTGCTGGTTGCCCCAAAGAATCTATACTCTGAACCAGGACTGCCTAGGCACTAAGCTGCACCCATCCTTTTTTCACATACACATAGACATTGGTGGGCTACACCTCCCTCTTGTTCAAAACCAAAAGTTACCAGAAATGGGGAGAAAGGCCTCTTTAGTCCTAAAAACTCCCAGACAGAATTTAAAGGGGCACCTGCAATATCTGAAGGTTTGTAGGGCACAGCTGACCATTTTAGGCCAATATTTCTTTTTGTAAGTACAGTTTGCAGGATGAGGGCTCTTGGTAACTCATTTGTATAGCCTCTTGTTTGCTTACACTAAAAATGGAACTCCGGCCCCGTTTGCCCAAATTGACTCATTTATCCCCCATTGCCACAGTAATGTAGAGTACTGAGCTTTTAAAGGCTACAGAATATTAATATTATCAGATTAGCACCAAACCAGTAAAGCACCTGCCAAAAATGATTGGTTGGCATTAAAATACCCAAGCTGCTATTGATAAAGCCATAACAAAATAATGCATGTTCAGTGAGTCCCTACATAGCACTGATTGCCTTATGGATTTAAAAATCATCAGCCAGAATTCTTTTGAGGTTTACAATTGTGAACAGGAATATGAACAGCAACTTGTTAATTAGTAGCAATTCACTGTCACAATTGACACAATTATGCCTACAGTTGTGTAAATCCTCAGCAGGATTCTGAAAGTGATCAGAAGTGAAAAAGGTCTCCTTTGGCCTAAGACAGACCCTCCCAGATAGAATTTAAATGGCCACCTGCAAACCCTTAAGGTCCTTAGGTCAACCTTGGCCATTTCAGGCCAATATTTCTTTTTTCAAGTACACTCTGCAGCATAAGAGATCTTGAGGATTCATTTCCATAGCCTCTGCTCTGTTACATGATCTCAGCATTCCTACAAGGGTTCTGACATATATTTTCAACTCTATAGACTATTTATATGGAGGCTGGGGTCAAAGCACTGGGTCAGATGAGGGACTGCAGCTACAGATTTCTTTCTTTCTTTGAGAAATGAGCCCTTCCTAAATTTCCGGAGAATAGGATTCCCTGAACAACAGTTTGAAAATCACTGCCTTACACCAAAGATTTGAATTCAGGCCCTGTTTACCCAAATTTATTCACTTATCCCTCATTGCCATGTAGTGGTGTACAGTATTGAGCTTTTAAAGCCTACATAATAATAAATATTATCAGGTTAGCACCGAACCAGTGCCTTTTAAAGCACTAGCCATAAAAAAGGTTGTTTGCCATACAAAACACTTAAGAAACAGCTACTTGATAAAGCCATAACATCATAATGCATGTTCAGTGAGTCCCTGCATAGCAATGATTGCCTTTTAAGTTTAGAAATCACCAGCCAGAATCCTTCTGGTGTTCACTACTGTGAACAGGAATGTGAACAGTAACTTGTTAATTAGTGGCAATTCACTGCCACAATTGAAACAATTACACTTACATGGATATAAACTGCCAGAAAGGTTCTGGCCATTGTTGTCTTGTTTTTTTTTTCCCTCCTAAAAAATAATAATCTTAAAATGCCAAAAATACCCAATGCAAACTTTAGCACCTTATAAAGATCAGTGCAGCCTGTAGCAAGAAAAATTACTGATTGAAAGTAAACAATTGAGTACAGTGACAATAAAAGTATCACTTTTGTCATAATGCTACATATAATGTAGAGTACGTAAAATGCAGTGGCGTGACTGCAAGGTTTAAAAAAAAATAAATTTACAAGTTAAGCAGCCTTAATATAAACATTTTACGTACAAAAATATTAAATCAAAAATAAATAATTCAACATAAATATTATACTTTACAACATCAGGAATATACAATATATATACACATACATAGGCACACGCGCACACTCATACACACATAGGCACATTCAGAGACATATACAGAGGAAGAATTACAAAAGTGGAAGGCAGAGGTATTGCTTCATTATCCTTCATCCATCTTGCTTCAGCTCCCGGCATTCAGAAATCCTACGAATCAAGAATATAACACAACAATCTCATCTTTATTTCAGTACCATCGATGCATTAAAAGAAAAACAGGCATATTTTGCCACTTCATGGGGTCGGCCATTTATGTGTCTGGAAATGTGCACAGGATTCCAAACAGCACTGTTTCCTTCCCCCTTCCCGGATCTCAGTCAGATACTTTTATTTTCTACTGGAACACCAATGTCCCAAAAAGTATGTCTTGGTATCACCAGATGACCTCTATATATCATTCCCCTTTGGTTTTGCATGCCACTTAGTGACGTCTTGAATTTGCTGGTCCCATAACTAATCGAGGAACTGGTAGTTATTCCATAATTTTGCTGTAAAGCTGCAGAGCCACAAAGTTTATAGGAATGGCTACAATCCCACAATATTGCACCCATTTCTGATTGCCACAGATCTGATTGACACTGGTATAATAATACTCTTGCTATCCCTGCATGACTGGGTGCTAAATCTTAAGAACAATAAATTTTATTATTATTACTAAGCAACTGATGTAAAATTTACAGATGTATACAGTATTTATTTATTCTTACACCCATGCTGGGCAGTTTACAACACAGACTATATAGATCTATGATCATCATCCTCTCTTATTCTTATTAAAACCTCTCTTATTCTTATTAAACTAACCTTCATTCAAAGATATCAAGACAGGGTACAGAATCAAAGAATTATATAGCACGGAAATATAGCACCATACAAACAGAATGGACACAGAGTGCCTCCACTGCTACTTGAAATGGTGGGCAGGAAAAAAAATTGTTCTTAAAAGTGGCTTCTGGATTTGCACCAGGTTTGTGCATATATGCACAGAAGCTTTACTATTTGTTGCTTCGGAGCCTTCTTTGAGCACTTCAGAGGTAGCAGCTCAGGTAATACTGGTGGCTACAGGAGATGGGGGTATTCGTATTCGTTTACAAATATCACCCCACTGGTGCAGATAACGAGGGTCTGGTCCCCTGGGGCCAGACCATCCACTCACTTGTCTGCCACTGCCACGGGCTCCACAATCCCTTCCTATCGCTCCGGAGTTCACGATGGATAAGCCACTCCTGGCAGAAGACGGGATGATGAGCCTCTCTGCCAAGTCAAAGAGAGGCTAATCCATCACAAGCTCCAGAGCAACCGGAAGGGAGCACATAGTCCACGGCAGCCATGGACAGGTGAGTGGTCAGACCCTCATTATCTGCACCTGTGGGGGGATGTTCATATCTGTTTATGAATACTCCCATTTCTACTGATGGCTATTTCTCACTGTGTGGTTTGCACTCCGGTGCCTCCATTGTACAAGGCTGGAAGGTTGTGCTTATCTGGCATTTGGCTGCAACTGATATGAATATTGCTTCATTGCAAGCAAATTGATTATCAACTGGGCTCCAGACTCTTGCCACTGATATTTAAATGCTATGCTTTTCTAGCAGTGAACTATATGAGTCAGAACATACCATTGCTATAACACTTGGACATTGAGACCAGTTCCAGATGATGGTGTACACTTCCCACAGTAACCGCCACATTTTCCTATTACTTTGGTACCATCCTGTAGATAAAATCAGAGAGACAGTAAATGCTGTCATTCACTTTCTCACTCCTTGTCTCTCTCCTATCTTTTCAACTTATGGGGTAAGAAACAGTCTGCAATTCAGTACTCTTAGTAGGGAGTAAACCCTGTTGGACCCAATGCAACTTCTGAAAAACATGCATCCATGTTTACTCAGTGGAAAACTATTCATCTTAAAAGGGCCGAAGAAAAGAAATAGCAATTACATGATTCTGAAAAAATGCAAACAAAATATTCATCCAAAACTGATCACCATTATATTTTAAAATATAGTCAGTAGAATGACATTCTGAAACATATACATCCACACAGCTTGTATTCTCTTCCTTCTATATTGCAGAAAACAGTACAATTCAGATTTCTGACCAGTGTGTATACCCTATGTTAGTATAGACAGAATTACAGCATGACCTCTGAACCCCAGCCCACCTCATTTAGGGTTCACAGATTATGCTGTGTTTTGATGGGTTTTATGTACAAATATTCCCCAGCCAGAAGAGGCTATTCTCAAACTGGACCAGATGGAAAGCCAGAACTCCTACTCCTTTTTTGTTAGCATTGAGCCATAGCATATGTCAACCATCTTGTTGGATATTATTAGAGATGGACACAAATCACTTTGGGATGGGTCATCATGACTCTTTAGCACAGCATCATAGGTGCCATTAACCAACCAGTGTGCGCTGCTCATCTCCTTTTCTAGTCGCAGCAGGAGAGCATGCTTCCCTCCTCTGCCTCCTTTAGCAGCTGCCCACTCAAAAGCAGTGTTGCAGCAATCCCTGCCCTGCCTCTTCGTCTGAGGAGGGAAGCACGCACTCCTGCTGCAATTGGACAGTTGTGCAAAAAGGAGGAGACAAGTAGTGTGCACCAGCTGGTGAGTGGGGGAGCCAGCTGGGGGGGGGAAGAAGGGAACATGCAGCACCTATGGTGCCGCACCAATGACTTGCAACTACTCAGCACAAAGCGATTTGTGCCCATCTCTAGATATTATCAATCTAGGATGCTCATTCCACCTCCTAGGAGTCTTCCTGATGCTTATTCTCTTGGCACCTCAACTTCAAGAGCTATGTGCCTGACAGGTCAGCCAGGTGGAGTGCCCTCTGCCCAGGGCCTTTTTATTTTCATTTGGTCAACTTAGATATTAGTCTTTGTGCTAAGCACTGATCTCTTGCAACTGTTTCAGGTGTATAGGGGGAAAGTTACCAACTGCACTATATATTTCACATTTTAATCCAGACAATTGAGCTCAAGCAAAGAAGCAATTCTCTCCTTTGAGGGACTCTGTGTGATGCAGTAAACTGGACAGAGCTGGGTTAAGAGTTTGGAGTCTCTAGCCCATACCTCTACAGTGTTTCTGCATGCTTAGAATTCTGCATGGACAGAAATTTGATTCCTGAAAATATTACAGCCAGTTTTCATTTTCGTCACTTTGATATGTTAAAAATGGCTTTTGGAACTTGGTACAAAAGTCAGATTGCTTACTTGGAAAGGTCTTTGTTAGAATAATGGAGTAGATGTGCTATGAATTTTAATGTTTGAGGGACTTTAACCTTGATTTCTAGCCTATTTGTGCTGCCTCAGTCTCTTGTTTTTTCACTAGTCTTAGCTAGTGGGTGTCAAAAGGGGAAATGATTCTTTACAAATATTGCCAGGCTACAGAAATGGTCAATATAGTCATATCAAACTGAACTATGCTAAACAAATGTTTTTCTTGCAACAACCCAGGTCAGGAATTACAAGGTGAAACTTGATGGAAATTGAAGTATGGAGGGAATGGAAGTAGACCCATAAGCCCTGCCCTGCCCCTTGCCCACAATCTGGCAGTCAGGCAGACCTGGGTTTGTTCCACATGAAGGTCTGGAGTAGCATCTTTAAAGGGGTTCAGCTGAACATACTGTTCACCAAATGTTTGTTACTGGCTGGAGTAGCATCTTTAAAGGGGTTCAGCTCAACTGTTTGTGACTGGGATCATAGAATAATAGAGTTGGAAGGGGCCTATAAGGCCATTGAATCCAATCCCAGATCAAGGCAGGAATCCAAATCAAAGCAGATAGTTGTCCAATTTTCTCTTGAATGGATCCAGCACTGGAGTGCTTACCACCTCCAGAGGCCATGGGTTGCATTGTTGTCCTTTTCTAACACTTACGAAGTGTTTCCTGGTATTCAACCTAAATCTGGCTTCCTGTAGCTCATGATTACATATCCAGCACTCTGGGATGATTGAGGATGACTGAGTAGAAGCAATGCTTTTTGAGAGCTTCAAAACCAGAAACATTGTAAGTGCATTCAAAATGCTTTTACAAGTGCCACTGTAGAGCTTTGTTGTGAACATGCGATGGTGTGCCTGATTTCTAGGTGGGGTGGAGACCCTGGTGGCAAGATTCACCTGTGAACTCACATCACCATCACTCTTTAAGCCTTACCTAGTCTCAAGCATAAGGCCTGAATAGGGTGAGGCCACCTGGATCCTAAAAGAATGAGTTCAAGAACCACAGGTCCTAGAAAAGTAATCTCTTTAGTACTTTATTATGCTCAGTAGCATTGCTAGAGCAGGCTCCCGACTGCACATTTCCTGAGGACTCAGACAACTAATTAAAGAAGTGTCTGAACCACTGTGCTCAAGTATTTTTAGCTTCACGGTTAAGCAGACTCACTAATTAATTGCAATAATACAGATCAAATTGAATTTACTCCAATCTGTGGCTCCAAATCCACCAATTACAAACCATGCTCTGCTGTTCAAATCCTTACGTTACATTTCAAGAGGTTTTTTTTAAAATTCCCTCCCCCCCTATATTTACAAGATGGAAGAATATGTACATTGCAATTAACAATGGCAGGGTAACAGGTATAAGTGCCGCATTTGGCTTGAATGTTTTATGTTTTCCTTACTGGTGATTTTATAATTTCAGAAACAGCGTAATTCCCTTGGGAAAGCCATTTTGAAGTTTGTGTTACTGCTAGACCCGTTCCAGAAAGGTTGATACTAAAGCGACCCTTTAAGGGGAAAAAAAAAGGAAAATAAGGCATGTGTTAGATCATAAATATTTTCTGAAATGACTGCTAAATAGTAAAATGCATAATCACTACAAAAAGGAAGACCTCAAGAGAAAAATCTGATTCTGGCCGGTGTTTTTGTCACTGGCTACACCCCAACCCCCACAAAAAATAACAAGCCACAGTGTCATTATTCTAACAAGATCTCCCTGGCAATGTTTTCAATTGTTCCAAGCACTCATAGTGATTAGCACATACTGTACAAATCACAGCAGGAATGAGATTAAGCATTTCTTCTCATTTGCAGCTTTCTGAGGAAAGGTTGTTTTGCTGTCGACTGCCAGCTGAGGGCATTCTTGCCCTTTGCCTAATAATCTCCAGTGCTTAATGTTCTGCAGGTGTTCAGCTCAGGAAAAAAAGAAAATAACTTAACATTTGACTAAGGGAGGCAAGATCTTTTCCCTCCCGCTTCTTTACCTCCATGAGGAATTAATATTTGTGCATTATAACGCACGCCACACTTTTGTTTGTTAAACCAAAGCCCAAATGTTCTGTGTTAATTCTCATATAAGGACAGGAATTCTTCCATAAGCCCTCCAGCATCTTGGAAATACAAAAGCTAAAGTTATTTTACAAAGTTAAAATAAATTTGCTATTTCCCAAAGACAACTTACTTCCACTACAAGTTCTTCACAGCTCTTTTAGAAACCCTTCTACAGGTCCCTCTACTATTCAAAATGACCAGAGACAGGGCTTTCTCACTAGTTGTGCCTCCCATGTGGAATTCCCTCACGGCCCCAGAAAAGTTTGTGTTTTTTATTTGTCTGCATCTTTTAACTGCTCTTGTGATATGGCTGACTCGGTTGACTCTAGGCTTACGTTGTTGTAAGAACAACCTCTCTCCTTAATGTTCTCTTGTTCTGTAACATCATATTAAATTATTTTTATTTCAATACATTGTTTGCTGCTTTGATAAGAGGGCTGTAACTACTGATTTAGTTGTCCCAGACAAGAATGAAACATTGAGTTTTCTCCTTGCTAGGAGAAATTATGAGAATTTTTGTGCGGTTTTGGCATTCGGAGACATGTGAAATATAACTTAGCTTTTTGCATATAATTTTTAGCACAAAATACACTAGGTTTTTCGGGGAAAAAATTTGTACCCAAACCACTGCTCGTATGTGCGCATGTGCGTAATGCAGGTGCACGACTGTATGTTGCTAAAGACAGGAAGTATTAGAGCAGGAACAAGGCAGAAGCTGGAATGTGATTTCATTGATCAAGAACAACTCTGTACTGCTGGAATGCAGCAAATGGATCTGTAGTCTGAGAAATATTATTGTCAAAATACCTGTGGGCACTTGGCTGCACTATAGCAATCCCCAGCAGTGGCAAAAGGAACAGGTCGTCCATCAAGTGTTTGTGCAAACTGTAAATCGGTTGCTGTGGAACAAAGAGAAAACACATGCTCTATTTGATCCTTATTTAATATAACACACCTGTCTTCATACATTAGTCTTGTGAATCCAATGGGATTCTTGCTGAAAAATAATGCTGACTATTAAATGTGCAGCTCAGCTTGATATTGCGACATGCGTGCACTCTTCATGTAAGCCATCAGTGTGAACCAAAGAGGCCATGAAGGAGAACACACTGAGGCATTGCCATTGTTGGTCTTTCTGCTGTCCCCAGCCTATCCCTCATTTATGGCCTTTTGTTTCACCAAAAATTTTAGGACTGAAGATTATTCTGATATGTTGGAACAGATGGTTAAATTTAAAAGTGCTTCTTTCCAAATTTATGGAGGTACAGGCCTAAAAACCTTGGTACATGCTCATATCCTACTTCCACAGTTTGTGAGTGTTTCATGAAGGATAGCTTCTAGGCTCCTCTGGATAAAATAAGCTACCGCATTGTTGCCCAAAGGTGAAACCTGCAAAGCTCTCTTGCTGCACGATACTCTCTGTCTTTCAAATGCCCAAATCTCCAAAGAGTTCTGGATGTACTAATCTTCAACTCTAAGACCAAGTTGCTATGGGCAGCCCCAGTTAGAGCAGAACCCTTGAATCAATGGGATTTCCAGTTCACCAATCAACAATTATTTCAGTGGGTCTCATCTGGTTGGGTTTAGCCCAAAGGTTTGGACAAACTGGGTCACAAATGAAGCTGTGTTTGCACAGCAATGCTTATGGTCATAATTTCGCATCTCACTTCAGCTGGAGAAAGGGAGAGAAATAAAACCACATTGAAGATGCAGCATGATGACTGTGCAGTGGAGTGAAAGGGTCCAGAGCAAAAGCTACCAAAGAGGCATTTCTTCTTCTTCTTCTTCTTGGAACTGATCTCAGCAGCACAGAACTCACGGCTGCAGTTACAAAGTCTACTATTGTTCAACTGCAAGGTTGAGTAATATAAAATTTTAACACAGGCAACACAAGGACTGGCCTACTTTTAAATTGATGCATGCATTCTGTCTCCCTTCCTCCCCCAAGCATTCTGATGGAAGAATCTTGTTGTTACTCACTTATTATTTGCATAGCACTCAGGTCCAGCCTTACTTTGCTGAAGGCAGATAACCCAGCTGCAGTGTAATCTTTCCTACACTGGCAGTCTTCTCGTCTGCTTCCATTGTATGGACATTCAGTTGGGTTATGTAATCTGAATTTTAAAAAAAATAATCACCTTTTCTACTCAAGAAAATAAATTGTAATACCAGGAACAGAAACCAAGATATAGCATCAAATATAGAATGGCTGGGTGTAAGTACCTGTAGCTGTATACTTCTGAGAAATTCTCTGCTTCTCCATTTGCAAGAGTCACATATTCTTTCGGGCTGTCAGATTCCATACCAGCACAATAGATCTAAAAGAAAAACATCACACTTCTATCAGACATATAACACTAACTGTTAAGTGCATGGTGAAGAAATCAAAAGAAGGAAACTACAAAGGCAGGTCACAAGAGAACAGAATTAATTATGATTCAAAATGTTTGGAAAAAAAACACACTGGGCAATGCAAATGGATCTCTATGTCCAGGCATGTAATTAAAATTCAAGTTATTAATCTCTCTCTTTCTTTCTTGTGCACACACACATAGACACAGAGTACTTGCACTTCTTCAAAGCCAAGAAGTGAAAGCCAAAACCAGGATATTTGAATGATAAGAGTTACTTAACATAGAACATTCTGTTTCTTATGCAGACACAAATGAAGATGGGCTCTTAATACCATAAGCAAGAATAGCATGACAAAGATTTTGTGGAAATGCACAGCAGATTAGTCCAAATTTATAGGATCCTTAAGATTTCATGCTGCTTTGCAATGCTGCAAACTGTACAGGGAAAGATACAGAATGTCTCTGAATCACACCTTTAAGAGCCTTCCTTTAACTTTAAGGTAATACTCTCCATCTTCATTGATCACTTTGAGCCTTTTTACTTCTTTACAGCTTGTAGGTAATTCACCTAAAATAAAGACACATGAGAAACTAAGCAGCACAGAAAGTAATGGGTATCACAATGGGCAACAAAGATTTTTGCAAAAAAAACCCACAGAAACCCACCAAGATTTTTCTCCTAAAAGCGGATGGGTTCAATAAAATATACAATACAGTTTCTTCTAAGTATTTAATATACAAATGTCTTGGTGAGCCCAGGGTGAATACTGGATAGTCTCCCTAGATTTCTGGAAAGTGAATATTACAGTGTCATAAAAAGAAGCACCAAAGATGCAGCATTTGCTCAAGAGGCCTCGACAGCAGACACTGAAAGAGTATGTTATGCCATCAAATTGGAGCTGACCTTAAAATCCATCTAGAATAGTACTCCAAAGACCAGCTCCAAGTTGCTCTATATTACTAGCATTAAGTTGTCTTTTTGTTTTGCAACAATCACCATCTGTTGCCTTCTTTTGCACCACCAACCATTCAAAAATGTAAGTTGACTTTGAGTCAGAAAAACAACTTTCACATGTTTTATGAATTTTTTTGTAGAATATTTTGCATATCTGGAGACTTCTGAGCTGTTGCTCATTTCTTGAAGGGAATTTTAAAATACAGTAGGTGTTTTGTTTTGTTTTGGCAATACTGTATCTTCTATCACAACAGCTTGGTGGTTAGTGCTACATATCAATTTACTGTCTATACTCTACATCAGTGGTCCCCAACCTTGGGCCTCCAGATGTTCTTGGACTTCAACTCCCAGAAATCCTGGCTAGCAAAAGTGGTGGTGAAGGCTTCTGGGAGTTGTAGTCCAAGAACATCTGGAGGCCCAAGGTTGGGGACCACTGCTCTACATGGTCTCCATTTCAAGATGGCATACATTGTGGCCTTCCTTTCAGGTACTAATAGAGAGCTTAGATTCAGCAAGGCAGCTACATCTTGCATTCTCTCATTGCATATTCCTGCCCTCTCCGATGCTACATCTTGTACAAAAGTAATGTCAGTAGCTTCAAATCCCTTCGGAGAAGACCATATGCGGTTCCTTCTCCAACCAGAATCGACCCCAGTTCTTGGGAAATATGACTCTAGCATAGATGTGGGCTATATGGTAGGCTTCTGACATGGCTTCTGACCTGACTTTCATTGAGCAGCATTGCAACAAACTTCCCTGCAGCCACTAATGCAAAAGGAGACCTCACATGCTGAATAGAAGGGATCAGTAAAGTTAATGGTCACCAGTTGAGCGGGTGTCTGATTATTATTAGAGCTAGTGACTTGTGACTTTAATCTTTGTTTTTCTTTTTAAAAAACCCTCTTTCATTCTAACCTTTTAAAAGGTATTGAATAGCTTCCTGATTAAGCCACTCAAGCAGACAAACATGAATGAGGCTTGGAAGAGATGGGAGAGAATAATGAAGACTCTCCTTTGTCTTTGGGAAAACCTGGAATTTTGGCAGTGGATGGCTAAATGCAACTAGCATAGATCCACTGAATCCCCTAAATTTGGATTGATGCTTCTAGTTGAAAGCCCACAAATGACAGCAGCGCTGAATAAGAATGTATGCCTACAGTATCTGCCCATACCAGGCTTCCTGGCATCCATGCAATGGGGATCAGGATACAGAACAATGGGGCAGACTGGTCCCGGTGATGATATAGTATTAACAAGGAACATTCAGGCTATCAAAGGGACTTACAATCATGAATATTGTGACATGCCCTCCTTTCTTCAGGTTTCAAATCCTCAGGGCACAAATTACTTGCTTGGTCACTGTTTGTAAGGCACTGAACTGACCGGTGCATTATCCCGATTCCACAACTCACTGAACACTGAAAAATGAAGGAAACAACATTCACTTTCAGCTCTCACCAGGATTGTGGTCACCCTAGTAGACATAAGGCTTAACAAAAAATAAATGGTGATAACCAATATTCATTATTTGCATTTTGTTTGTTTTTATTGGTTTTTGTGCATGTCCCCTCAAGGATGAGAAAAGGAGGATACTATTCTATTCTATACTAGGGACAACTATGTATGCAGACAGCTGTGTGTCTGTCAAGGCCTGAAATAGTAAACCAATTACATGAAAGGGGAGGAAGAGTGTTTTCCAAGCTGTACTTTGATGCTCCTATATCTCCTGTCAAGTCCATTCTGGCTTATTGCGACCCTTTTCAGGGTTTTCTAGGTAGAGATTACTCAGAAGTGGTTTAACATTCCCTTCTTCTGTGGGCACCCTGGGACTGTGCAGCTTGCCCAAGGCTACATAGGCTGGGTCTTCTAGGATGCACAGTGGGGAACTGAACTCCAAGTCTTTGGTTCCCAGTTAGATGCCTAACTTACTGAACTCTATCCAGCCAGATATAATATAATAAGTCATATCATAACTCATATCATAACTTTAACTTTCCATCTCTCTCTCTTGTCGGCAAATATATTTACTGTATTTTCCATGTGTAAGATACCCCAATGTATAAGACTTCCCCACTTTTCTAACCCAGAATTTCTTTCTTCGCAAGAAAGTGGAGGGGGAAAGCAGGGATCCAAGGGCTTTGATCCCCCCCTTACTTCCGTGTATAACAGAGGCCCCCAACCCCCGGTCTGCGGCCTGGTGCCAGTCCTTGGCCTGAGACGGACCGGGCTGTGGAGAAAGACCTCCCCCCCTGCACAGCCCCTTTGCGCATGCACACAAGTGCCCGTGCACCCACCTGAGTGCTGTGCGACCATTTGCACATGTGCATGAGAGTGCACACGCCTGTGCAAGAGAGAGCATTCCTTTGTGCATGCGCGTGAACACAAGGAGTGCCCCGCCTTCCCCAGCCAGTCCATGGGGTTAAAAAGGTTGGGGCAACCTGGTGTATAAGACAACCCTAAATTTTTTAAGATTTTAGGAAAAAGTATCTTATACATGGAAAAATATGGTACTTGCTGGCTCAGGTCATTTGAAAGGAAGGGAATGTAGAAGAAAGCTAATTCCTCAAAATATGGACCAAAATGCCTGTCTGGTCACACCCTTTAACACAAACTGTGTAAAATGGCAGTGGCTGCTGTTTCGCCCTATGTATTTTTTGAAGACTGAACAAGTTTTATTTCTTTAAACAATCAACCTGTTAAATAATAATAATAATAATAATAATAATAATAATAATAATAATAATAATAATAATAATAATAATAATAATAATAATAATAATAATAATAATAATAATAATAATAATAATAATAATAATAATAATAATAATAATAATAATAATAATAATAATAATAATAATAATAATAATAATAATAATAATAATAATAATAATAATAATAATAATAATAATAATAATAATAATAATAATAATAATAATAATAATAATAATAATAATAATAATAATAATAATAATAATAATAATAATAATAATAATAATAATAATAATAATAATAATAATAATAATAATAATAATAATAATAGAAACATACACTTCCCCAATTTCCAACTCTCCACGATGCCAAAACTGGACATTCATCTAGATAGCATGGCTGCACATTTGGTGGTTGTGTGCCTGGACAGTTGAGTGTGTTCTGATAGCCATACTCGTAATGATCTTTTCCTGTGTAAATTTCACTACAGGAGACCAGTCTTTGCTTGTAGCCTTTGCCACATGTCACGGAACACTGTGGGGAAAAAAAATTCAGTAATGTGACGGACACTTAAAGTAAGCTTTTGACAAAGGAGAACATTTCTCTCCCCCCCCCCCCCATTTTCTTCTTATTTATCAGCTGTGAAATATCATGAGCAGGATAAGAGTCCTGCAGCCTCCCCTGACTTTTCTAGCACCGGTTTTCTCCAACTAGAACCATACTGAATTTTTTCGTCTTTCCAGCTCTTGCCACGAGCACAATCAGCTTCCTACATACTGTATCTCTGTTCCTTCACAGAAATAATAACCCAAAAGAAGTAATAAGATGGATGTGTTAAGGGGAGCTTCTGTATAACGCCTTAACTGCCAGGTGTGCAAGTATGCACTCAATCTCTACCCACAACTATAGCAGTTTCTTAATTATGACAGATCTTATATGACTCAATAACAAGGGCATGTAAAAATAACTTTTTTTGAGACTATGATTCTCAGATTCCTCAAAAACAACCTCTCCCATCTCTGGGTGTCATAGATGTTTTTGGAGCTCCATCTTCCTTTATGACAGACTCACTGGCAGGAGTTGATGGAAGTTGTGGACTAAAATAGTCAGAGGAACCTGCATCAAGGAAGACAGGTGTACTGGATGCAAAAAGGATCTAGTCCTTTTGCTTCCCGTTAATTCCTTTCCTGCTCTTATCCAAACAGCATAAAGCTGTTTCATGTAAATGGAATATATGAAACACAGACCATGATCTAAACAGCCTTCACAAGAAATGTTTCCAAGAGATATCAAAACCAAATAAAATGAAGTACTTGCAGAAAAGTACAGCCAATGATTTGCCTACAGAAGAAACACACACACACGGTCCCCTCTTTTAGCGCCATTTTCATGAAATAGTTTGAGTCATATCTTTGAAAACAACCAGATCATAAGGATGGCAAGCTCTCAGGGAAATAAACTAAAGCATGCCTATTTTCCACGGGTTTAACTCAAGAAAGAAACAGAACATGCTATGGATTATAATGTTTCCTTTGAGGCAGGGAAAGGAGGCCACTGCTGGTATAGGGCCAAAAAAGAAGTGTAACAAGGGCTAAGGGATAAGGTATCTGCTTGCTACCCCATGCTCTTCTGTACTCTTTACCAGCTTTTCATTTATGCTGTTCTCTTTTCCGTTTCTCCACCTACTCCTTTCTGTTCTTCTCCCCAGAATTTGTACGTAGCTAAGGGTAATTTAGGAAAATTAGACAATACAGTATTTTACACAATATATCTTGCACTCTATAATTTTTCAAAACATTTTTTCTGGGAATTTTGGAATTTCTTTTATCTGTGTGATATGGAAATTTGGCCAATGGGCCCTTTTTACTCCGATTAAAATCTATACCAGTAATCAACATTCTACACAGTAATCCAGATATGGAACACAGGGGAAGCCAATCTGAATTTGTAACGGCTAGCTGTTGTTTTTTAAAGCACTTTTCCTCACACTAGACACCTGCATGCATTTTCTTTTCTTTTCTTTTTCTGATTCAGCTCCACTCTGTTCTCCAATTTTCTTTTTTCTGCTTGGTCAGCAACAGCTCTGTCCTTTCTCTTTCTAACTCCTCCAGGTGTGAAATGGTCCTTCATATGATGCAGAAGGAACAGGGATGAGTCTGTTTTCTTCATTGCTTAATTCAGGTGACGATGGAAAGCAGTTGATTTGTCTTGACAGGTATACTCAGTGTTGTGGGACAGAACTGCCAGCTTAAATTTGTTCAAAAGTATGAATCGAACCTCATATTTATGAGAACAAAGGGTTATTTTTAGTCATCAGCTACTTTCTTAATCTCCTTCCCTTTCCCCACAATCAGGTTCTTATTGATTTTTCTTTTCTAACAACAACTGGACCAATTATGGGCACATCTACTGAATACAGAGTGTATGGTATGAATTGTAATCCTTCCTACAATCAGCTCTGGCCCACATGCGCATGTGCCTAAACTTGAGGATGACTCATCTGAGTACAGAGAAGATCCATCAAGAGAAAATTAAAATATTAAAAAAGGGAATGGAACAAAGAGAAAAGGCGGTAAGGATGGATGGTAAATGAGCAATCATATCATCATGTTGATTTTCTAAAGCGTCCTCAAATTCCTGCTGATGTTTGGTGCTTCCTGAGTTCTTGTCTGTTTTGAATACATGATTTTGTGCAGCAGTTGACAAGTAAGTTTGCTTCAGTCACCATGATGACCATGAATTTAATTCAGCCAGAAGAAGTAATATACCAGTTTTGGCCTATTGTTTTTGTTTTTCAAACTGCTGGCAAACTCCTCGAGTTGAGGTTATAGAAATGAGAAAGTTAGATTAGACCACTCTAGGCGGCTTACAACCAAAAAAGTACCACAAGGTTATAGAAATGAGAAAGTTAGATTGAGAGCTGACATCATCAGTGGTTCAAAGGGTGACTTCACGAGTTGGTTGAAGACTAGGGAGAGTGACCATTGTTGATCTACAAGCAGAATGTCTATGCCTCAGTTCCAGAGATCTCAACGGCAGTCCCCTCCATGCCCCATACTTATAGGAGTGAAGTGCCGGTATTAAATAATACATGGGCATGCCATGTATCTTTCTCTGGTAGCTCCAAAACAATAGCAGTGGTGGAAAATGGCCTGTGAAAGTAATGTGGCATGGTGCCAAGGTGGTAGTAGAGCTGTGTGGCACAGTGGTTAAACTGCAGTACTGCAGTGAAGACTCTGATTATGACCCGAGTTCAGTCCTGGGTTCAGGTAGGTGGCTCAAGGTTGACTCAGCCTTACATCCTTCTCAGGTTGGTAAACTGAGTATCCAACTCGCTGTGGGTGGGCAATATGTAACCTGCATAATTAAATTCAAAACCACACAGAGAGTGCTTTAAGTGCTATGGAGAAATATATAAGCAGCACACACTATGCTTTTTTGTATGGAGGGTACATTGGTTCTGCTGTGGAGTGGGAGAAATTAGACTTTTGCTGGTGCTTCCGAGATGGAGAGGTCCTCCCTCAAAGACCAACAGTTTGGTCTTTTTGGCTTTGCTGGCCTTGGGATTGATAGCTCTCTCTCTCTCTCTCTCTCTGCTGTAGAGAAAGACATCTACTTTGACACTGATATAGATCTTAAGGTCAAAGACCTGGTCTCAACCTTGAGGGAAATTGGGGTTTTCTTTGTTTGTTCCTTCTGTATAGCTTGAGATGTTGAAATATTCTGAGATCTTAATGAACTTTGGGCTGAATTGCCTCCATTCAGATCTGCTGCCAGTTCCGGGTCTAGCAGATGGCAGTGAGCAGCTTGCAGCAATTTCTCCCACAGGTCACTGCACACAAAAGACCAGCTAACAACACCCATCAATCACAGTGACAGATCATCTCTCCCCCTTATCATAACAATACACCCACAACAAAATACATGCTGATCACCATAATCACCCAGGACAAAAAGCTGATCCCACAGCTATAAATGCTCAACTACCCCACAAACTGCACCAGAGCACAGACAGAGTTCTGACTCCTGTCCTCTGTGGAAGCCGGACACAGAGACTGGTGAAATGTTAGGAAGAAAAACTTCAAGAACACGGCCAAACAGCCCGAAAAACCTACAACAACCATCGGATCCTGGGTGTGAAAGCCTTCGAGAATACACTCTTTAAAAACTCTCTAAAATTTCTGACGAAAGAAGAAATGGACCTTCCCATTCTTTACTTGTGATACTATCTGGCTGAATCTCCCTTACCAGGTTGCAGAGCAGGAGCAGAAAGTGTCACAGCTCTTTCTTTTTAAAAAAAATGTTGTATGGGGCAAGCTGGCTGCCCTAAGAGTGAAGTTCTAGATAGTTGTGCCCCAAACCCCCATCTTCCCTTCCCGGGGGCTTCTGGGTAGCCACTCTGGAAAATGAAGGTGACTGCATGAAGCTTTGTGCCACAACAAAGCGCTTACTCTGGAATCTGTGGTGGCAACCATTTGTAAGGCCTGGGAATCAGAGAGCAGACAGGAAGTGCAGTATTTGAATTGTGCCAAGCTCCTGCGGGAGAGCAGAGAAAACCAGGAGTGGATGGGGCATGCAAGCCTCTCAGTTCTTCAAAACTCTTCATCAGGCTAGGTAATGAAAAACCTACTCTGGGGTTGGAGAAGGACAGAAGGCCAAAGGTTTGGCTAGATGTTTTAGCCATACGATTCACAATTAAGCAGAAGCCACAAATGGTGTGTGCAGAGTTGTGTGTGCAGGTATTAGGTTAAATACACCAGTAATGACTGCTGGACAGGGGACAGATTGGATTTGTCTCCAGTGTGGAAGGGATTGTCACTCTCGAATTGGCCTCCTCAGCCACACTAGACGCTGTTCCAAGTCCTCCATACAGAGCACGACACCATAGTCTTTCGAGACTGAAGGATGCCTACAATGACTGCTGGGATAGACAGAAGACGACGAGTTCTCATTTCAAAAAGCCCAAGACTGTTTTCAGTGAACAGATGCGGATCCACCATTTTCCTTTCCTATCACGCATTAAGTAGGCGTCTGCTTTGCCAGATCTTTTTATCTACTTCTTTCTCTATTTTCACCCAAATCCATCCTTTCTCTTCCCTAAATCCATTCTTTTGACACGGCCAATCTGTGACTATGAAGCAGCTGCCTAATTGGGGTATCTTATTCTTGTCACTCTGAGTGGATATTTTTGAGAATAGCATAGAAACATATAAAAATTGCCTTTTAAAAATATCTGCCAGGCTTAACATGCATACCTCTGACCAATCCCCTGTAATCCAAATGTATTCGCATGGTGGCAAGTTGCAGGGCTCAACATCAGGAGGTTTCTTGCTTGGATCGCAGTGCAGAGAGTCAGCTTCTTGCATATTTTGATCCACGCAGATTACTCTGCGGTATCTGGAGCCTTCACCACATGTTTTGCTACACTGTGGACAGAGAGATCAGAGAGAGATGAGTGCAGCAGCATCAAAGCAGCTAGGAGAGACAAGAAAGAGGCAGGGTGGATAAAAAAAATCATTTTTGTTAAAACAAATCACAATTTAAATCATGATTTCAATTAAAAAAATTCAAATTTTTGTCAAAAAAATCTAATCTTTTAAAATTTGAATTGTGATTTTAATCAGTTTCCACTCTAGAAAGAGGTACAGTAATTACAGACTCATTACAGAAATCAGCTTGTTTGTGCAGGTGCTTATTTTTTTTTTTAAGGTAAACTGCATTGCTGGAGTTGGGACAGAAAAATGGAACTCTGGACAGGTGTCAGCTTCTGTGCATAAGAGTCAAATGAATGAAGCCTACACTGAAGTGTACGTTTAATTACTCTGTCTTATTGAACAGGTAAGAATGCTACTGAGATATAATTACTGGATACATACTGTCATACTAACACATAGGCCAAAATGCTGCTCAGCACAGTAAATTACACTTGAGAAAGCCTGTTGAATTAATGGGGATTCAATACATCAAGCCCTCCATACATTCCACTGATTCAAATGGGAGTAATCCCTATGCTAATCTCATATGATTCTAATCTGGTTCAGGAAGATATGCTGGAATAAATGTACTATTCATTGACATGAAATGACAAGCCAGAATTATGTACAATTCTGGCTTGTCAGGAATGAGGCAGTATGTTGATCCACACTGGACTCTTTTTTCCTCCTATAAGCAGAAGCAGTTAAGCAAATCATGCGCCTTTTGTCTGTGTATTCTTTCTTCTGATGTCTGAATCTAACAGGGTCCAGCACTGTGATCTGATTCGCCTTTGAAATATCAACACCCTGGCAGGATCCTGAATTCTGATCTGATTTGCTTCTGGAAAATTGAACAAATAATAGGTTATTCCTCTGGCTTTTGGGGGAGACACAAATCAAATGTCTGCTCCTGCCAACTCAGACATAAGCAATAAACAGAACTACAGATGGTAGATCAGGAACTGGTTTATCCCCTCTCACTTGCAAAACCAATGGCTGGGGACTACATGCACCATTATGCTGTCCTGTCCACAAGAAGCCACTTACATTTCTAATTTACTTTGGCATCTGGAGATACCCACAAGATGGGAATTATGTTTTCTGTGCATGGAAAGAGAAATATTGTGTGAAATAGTTGATAGGTTTATTACTGTTCTGAATAAACTTCAGGGGAAAGAGCTTTGTAGTAACATTTCCTAAGATACAGTAATTGTAGTACTGAAACCCTTGAGGTGTTTTAGAATTTACGGAAAAATACTACCTTATACTAAAAATATTACAAAACCACAGTCCAGAGTCATAGTGATGTTATGTAATCTTTGGGTACCTTGTTGCAGCTAATAGTGGCTAATTGATGAGATGCCAGGGCACATTTTGGTCACCCAATCATATAGAACAAGGTCTCCAGTAAATATGAAAGTGACAACTGAAACAATGTGTCATATCTCTAGATTATGGTCAGAGCTGCCTCACACATGGGGTTAAAGCTGTGAAGTGTAGATGTGACTAAGGAGTTTTTGAAAACAAACCCCTAACTAGGGGTGTTCGATGATGGGTCGGACAACAGTTTCTTTTAGATGAATTAACAAAATCCAATAGCCAATCAATCATAGCCCCCTTCGTGGCTCTAATCAGCCATGCTGGCAAGGATTGTGTTAGGAAGTGGCGGGCCTGCAGCTAGCTAGCTCCCTGTAGACTTCCTACATTGTTTCAGGATCAAACTGAACCAAATAGACAGAGAGAGATGGAGCAGCAATGGTCACCTTCGGATCAGCTAAACTGCCAGTGGAGTTGAGGTTGGCACAAATGGCCTCGGTTTTCACTTTAAAAAAGGCTGTGAACCGACCACTAGTAAACTCAGGACAAGGCCCTGGATAGCCAGAACTGGTCAGGTTAGAGACCACCAGGAATAATTCTGCTTGTCGGTTCGGTGCCTCACCAATCCTCCAGATGTTAAAAGGGTTTCTTGCCCTTTTTAGGGTGTTGGCATATTTAGTGGCCATGATCTTAACTGTACATTTGTTTTGAAACAATTGATCTCTTCTCTACCTGCCCTTTAGCCATCTCTTTGATAACTTCATAGCTCGCAGCCCCTTGATATACCAAGGGGCAGAGGGAGTGCTGGAACAGAGAGGGGGTTTGGGAGCGATTTTGTCAGCTGCCTGGGTCATCTCCGGTTACCATCAGTCAACCTGGGCTTTGACAGGGTTGTCTACCAGGTCAGCCAGAAGCTCTCCCAGAGCCTCCTGAAACCATTCTGGGTCAAGAAGCCTGCGAGAGCAGACCAATTTCACCGGTCCATTCTCCCCACAGAGGTAAGTCACTGTAGACCTTTCAAATCCCAGTAGGAAGTGATCTGTCCACCTACTGTGCAGTCGAGAACATAAGATCCAGAATGTGGCCAGCTGAATGTGTGGGACAGTTGCCATGTTCGGATAGGTCCATGACTGTCTTGGCATCCATGAACTCAAGGACCAGACAATTCAAATTCAGCTTGGATGTTGAAGTCCCTGGCTACCAATAGCCTGGGTGGGAGAGCACTGAGTTGTAGGGAGAATGGTACACCAGTACTATCCTGAATCTATTCCTATGCCCCACCATCATGTACAAACACTCTAGGCCTGGGCTTGAAAGCAAGGCAGCCTCACTGGCTAGTATGGACTCCCTGTTAATTATTGTGATGCCACCCCCCACCCCTTCTGAGGTTTGGGCGGGGAGTATAAAATACTCAGAAGTAGTTTACTAGTCCCCTGAGGCCATTCAAGCTGGCTCTCCTTCCAGGAGTCACTCCTTCCAGGAGTCAAACTGGGAATCAAACTTCTGACCAGGTGATCCAACTCAGAGAGCTATCAGGTCTGCCACCACATTTCATACTCATTGGAGTTTCTAAAGGTTCTGTAAAACAGCCCTGTGGAGTGGGGGACCAACCACACAAAGTCTACATTTAGGCGATACCTTTATTTGGCTGGTCTTCCTAATCGAGTATTAACTGAAGATATTGTGTTTTTTCCCCTGCTCCTTTCTTCAAGGAGTATCATGGGTATGTTTGCGAGGATTCCACCCCCTTTAGAAAGTCACTCTACTCCATCAGTAAACAGTTTGAGTACAGAAGAAAAACACTTCAGAAATCCACAAGAATACGGACAAGGAAACCCGAGTCAGGAAGGGCTCAAGTCCAGATATTAATGGGGTTGTAACATCATTTCCAACAGACCTTTTCTGTAGATTAGATTTACTACCAGCTGGCTTCATTCAGCCGATACCTCATCTCTCTCTCTCAAAAAAAATTACTTGCAAACTATTTTGATAGCAAGCAAGGTGTTTTAAAAAGTGCAATGTCTGGGTTGTCATTTGATGGCTTTTATGGGGAAAAAAAGATGCTTGGGTTTTAAAAGTCTTTTTTTTAATTAAATCCCCTGTAGTCTGTTCTGTCACATGTTTGAGATTTACAGAGCATAGACACTGACACATACACTCACACAAAAACAGCTCAGGGGGAGCCTGGAAAGCTTTAGAAAACCAGCATGACCCATCAAACGTTCGCCTCCCACAAAAGGGTGGGCAATTTGTGTGGAGGGGAGGGGTATCTAATGCTTTCCAGTTGTGGAAAGTTATAACAAAAATGGTGAGAAGCAGGCAGAGAGAAAGAGAAAGAAAGGCAGGGCAGGAACTGTTACTCTGGCAGCTAATTACTCCAATTCGGTAAGTAGAGCAAATGCATGCTATTCGGGGACTGAATGTTTTCTAAACATCTTTCTAAATGTATTAACCTAAATTAGTTTTTATGCATTGCACTTACATTGTGCTTCCTTTGATGCCTTACACTCTTTTTTGTTAACCAGGGGAGAGACCAACAATGCATGATTGGGTCTTTCTTTGTTCCTTGCTTAACTCCTGCTCGCAAAGAGAGCTAGATCTGAGCTGACAAATGCTAATGTAGCACTCCTGAGTTGGTGACAGTTTTTAAATATTGAATATATGCCTCCGTGGAAATTTGTTAATAGCCAATTGTCACTATATGGAACAGCAGCATCACTAGACCTTATGCTAATGGAGAAGTGGCAAAATATAGTATTTTCTTTGAAAAATGACTCAGGGGTCCACAGTCCAATGGAGGAGTTAAGCAAAGCAATAAATGTTGTCCTGTAGGCTGTGGGTTTGACTGTGGAAACTGAAGAAGTACAATAATAATTAGTTCCTCAATTAATGGAGGGGAGTCGCTGCCTCAGTCTTGAATTGTTATTATTTTTGTTGCCCTCAAGGAATGTTTTCTCCCTAGGATTTTACAGAATTAGAAGCTGTTGGCTTTGTATATTTCTTTCTGACCCTCTAATATGAAACCAAAAGGCAGAGACCAAAGAGTTTCCTGCAACAATCTGCTATACACAATTTATATGCAACAAGGAGCAATGTGTGAAGAATACGATTCTGTTTCGAGCAGAACTTGCCAGTCACCAGATGATGCAAAGTTGCCTTCGTGGTGCTACTTATATTGGAATAGGTGTGTGTAAGGTATAGGACTGTAAAAACTGGCTTCAAAATATTTCTTCTTGAGTAACACACACATATTAAAGTTATATGCTGTTAATCTATTGTGAGATATGTGAAACACACAGGCAGTATACATCCATCAGGGAAGGAACTCAACCCCCCACAGGATTCCCACCATCTACCTTACAAAGATCCGACCTTTCTTAGAAGTCTAAGACAATAGTTAGAAAACAAAAGACTATGAGGACAACAGCACCTTAATAAGAAAGAAGGCTGCTCTCTTCACACACATCTTTTGCAAAGGACAGAGGATCAATTTGACAATGGATCAAGGAAAATGTTACATAAAATACATCGCATGTAGTGTTTTTCCCCGTTTTACATTTTATTCACTTATACACAAGGCTCCCCATATGGATTTGAACCACAAAACTAAGGAAGGTAGGTTTTATCTTTTCTTT